CTCTACAATAAATCAAAAAATTAGCCGGGCGTGGTAGCGCACCTGTAGTTCCAGCTACTTCGAAGGCTGAGGCGGAAGGATCGCCGGAGCCCAGTAGGTCGAGGCTGTGGTGGCCGGGCGCGGCCACTGCACTCCAGTCTGGTGACAGAGTGAGACTCCAACTCAAAAAGAAAAAAGAGCCTATGTAATTAATTGCTATTCTTGCTGAACTTATGTAGGGGAGCAGGCCAAAAATACTGAGACTAAAACTTGTTTTACAAATAACTTGGGCTTAACTGTGATTGTCTTTGATAAAAATGGGGAGACTGGGAAGAGAAAATGAAATTTCAGAGGAAAACTATAGGGCATTCGTTATTAGATTCTAGTTCATTGTTTTTGAGATTTTATCATTTACCTTCACTTTGGGCTGGATCCTGATTTCTTGTTGTGTCTTCCAATTTCTGGCTGCAAGTGTCCAAACCAAAACTTCCAATTTCTCTCTGACCCTTCTGACTTGGAATTACCGAAATTAAGATGGCCTTGTCTTTTTTTTTTTGTTGAGGAAGCAGGATTTATTGAGAGGACAGAGAAGCTCCCACAGTGGGAGGAGACCCAAAGGGGTTGCCCGGCCTTGTCTTTAATCCCTGCAAGCTGAAGCTGGTCGACTTGATAAACAGATTCCAGAGAAATCACCTTGAATTTAAACTGCAAATCAGGAAGGCCTATCAGATTGCCACTGCTGCTTCTGCTCCAGCTGAAGAGGCTTCAAGCCTAACAGCTAGAAATCTCAGCTGGCTGCCCCTTCAGACTCAGACACCTATTTGTGTTCTGCACCAATGATTAACCTTTGCCTTTCTTTTGCTTCCACAGAAATGCTTCTTATTAAAAACCCGTGCCCTAGATAGAGCCCTCACTCTGGGAGCGCACCTGACATCCCCGTTTAATTGGACTGACCTATGCCGTCTTGTATCTCAGTTACTAACCCTGCTCTTCTCTCTGCAGCTTCCAACTCAGCTTTTCGTGTGTGAAACTTCCAGGGAAATTTCAGACAGGGGGAATGATGGGGCTCAGAAAACAACACCCCCAAGTAGGGCGCTTTGCATGCTGAGTCCTTTGGAGAAAGGAGACTGAAAGACTTCAAAAAAAGTCCTCAGAGCCAAGGTTTCTGTCTGACCTTCTTCTGACCTTCCCCTCGTTTTCTCCCAAAGCACAGGGAGGGGATTTCTCTGATGAAGCAAAGTTCCTCTACTTCCTGGAATCTCATGAACCAGAGAAGATTAACTTTTATTGCAGAGAGGAGGTAAGCCACTGTTCAAGACGCCATGCCCAGATAGACTTTTTGCCTGGTTTTTCGACTATAGTTATGTGACTAATAGCAGTGTTTTGGTTGTGACCACATATACAACTGTGGTTTGATAAGGTTATAATGGACCTGAAAAATCCCTATCACTTAATGTAGTGAAGGAAGAAAAATCTTTCTTAATTCCTTTAGTGTAGCCCAAGTGCACAGTGTTTCTAAAGTGACAGTAGTGTTCAGTGATGTCTGAGGTCTTCACATCCACTCTCCACTCGCTCACTGACTCACCCAGAGCAACTTCCAGTCCTACAAGCTCCTTCTGTGGGGTGTGCCTTTTTTTTTTTTTGAGTTGGAGCCTCATTCTGTCGCCCAGGCTGGAGTGCAGTGACACACTCACAACCCACCCCAGCATCGACCTGCTGGACTCTGGCAATCCTTCCGCCTCAACCTTCCAAGTAGCCTGGAACTACAGGCACATGCTACCATGCCTGGCTAATTTTTGATTTATTGTAGAGACAAGGTCTCGCCAAGTTGCCCGGGCTGGTCTCGAACCCGTGGGCTCAGGCGATCCACTTACCTCGGCCTCCCAAAATGCTGGGATGACAGGCTGAGCCACCAAGCCCGGCCATGTGTGCCATTTTCTATCTTTCATAGCATATTTTTACTGTCCCTCTTCTATGTTTAGATATGTTTAAATACAAAAATATTTAAGCAACCATTGCGTTGCAAATACCTACAGTATTCAGTACAGTCACAAGCAGTACAGGTGTGCAGCCTTCGCGTGATCGGCTATCCCATACAGCCTAGGTGTGGCAAAGGCATCTGGGTTTGTGTAAATGCACGCTGTGATGATCACACAACCACAGAATTGCCTAAAATGTATTTTCTGGAATATATTCCCATCACTAAGCATGACTGTATTCTTCCAATGGCTGATATCTGAGAGATTTTATCTGTGTAATAACACAACCTCTGCTTGCTCCGTGCTTCCTTTCCGCTCACGCGCCCATGGTTTGTGCCTCCACCTTCCCATCTCGCTATCACAATCTTTCTTTCTGTCTGCACCTCAGGGTGCTATTTAAGCATCAGCTTTCTGGCCCTTTTTGAGTTTCTTTTAATATCAGTACATTTATAGGCATTTTTTTTGCCTGTGTATCTGTCAGTTTGTTTTATAGATTCAGATGATCAAAACTTCAAGAGATGGAAAAAAAGTTCCTTCTGTCCCTACAATAGTATTAAGTGGAGCCTTGTAGGAGGTGATTAAGTCACAAGAGCAGAGCCTCATGAATGGGATGAGTACCCTCCTAAACAAGGCCTGGGGGGATTTGTTTGCCTCTTCTGCTGCGTGAGGATGCAGTAAGAGAGCCAGCCCTCACCAGACACTGAATCTGCTGCCGCTGGTGCCTTGATCTTAGACTGCCCAGCCTCCAGAACTGTGAGTAACAAACGTCGGTTGTTTATAAATCACCCAGTGCTAAGATATTTTGTTGTAGCAGCCCAAACTGACTAAGACCCTTAGCAAGCCACATAACTTCCCTGTCTTAGTTATCTTGGGCTGCTATGACAAAATGCCATAGACTGGGAGGCTTACACAACAGAAATTTACTTGCTCACAGTTCACGATAGAAGTCCACATCAAGGTGCTCATCCATTCAGTTCCTGGTGAGGGCTCTTCTTCCCGGCTTGCAGACGGCCGCCTTCTTGCTGTGTCTTCCCATGACCTTTTCTCTGTGCAGGAGGGGGATGGGGGGTTGGGAGAGAGCTCTTTCATGTGTCTTCCTCCTCTTATAAGGAGATCGATCCCATCAGATTAGGACCCCACCCCTACATCTTCATTCAACCCTAATTACCTCCCAAAGGCCCCATGTCCAAATATAGCCACACCGGGGTTTAGGACTTCGAGATAGGAATTTGGGGCAGGGGACACAATTCAGTTGATAATACTCCCTGTGCCTCCATGCCCTCTTCTTTAAAACTAGGAAGACCTTTTCCCCTACCTTGTGGGTCTTAAGGAGTGTCAAGGGAGAAACAGAGCCATGACCAGGTGTGTCCAAGATAAGCACCCTCATCTCTAAGGTGTACTTGATGCTATTTGAACTTCCAGAGTCACCGTATGTTCATGTCCTGAGGAACATCTATGCAAACTTCATACACCCATATGCATGCGTGCACGCGTGAGTACACACACACACACACACACACACACTCTCTCTCTCTCTCTCTCTCTTACTTCCTTAACCCCTTCCAGTTAATCTTGGTTCCACAGGCCCCGGTTAAAGTCTCTACCTCCCCTCTGGCCCTTTCCAAAGAAGGAAATCATGACCTCACCTGCTGCAGGCTCTCATACTGCTGAGTGAGTTCTGTCAGTTTCCTTTCCAGTCTCCCAGCATGGGCTCTCAGGTATTCTGCAAACTCGGTCCTTGTCCCCTCCTTCAGTTGCTTCCAGTCATTGGAGAGAGCAGCCAAGTCACTGCCAAGGGACAAGACAGCCATCGTACCTCCCAGCATACGAGTATGTTTTGTCATTGCCAGTGTTGTCCCCCCAAAGGCCTTTTGCACCTGCTTGCTGGTTCGGGCTGAGACTCGACCAGTGGTCTGGAGACGCTTGGCAGCATTAACCAAGCGCGGGGAGTTTTTGGCTGTCTTTAAGGCACGGATGTCCCTCTTGATATTCTTGACAGCTGTTCCAACTTTATAGACAAGCGTACCGGAATCTATGATAGTCTCGGCTTCCCCGTCCTCTTGATCCTGGGTGGGCACAAGTTCAGAAGCCTGCACTTGGGCTTTTTTATTGCGAGAGCGATTCCACATGCCATTCACAATGCTGGCGACACCAGCTGCTGTCCCCAAACCATGACTAGCGACGGAGAACAGCAGGCTTCCTCCTCCTGTTGTTGGAGCCAGGACTAAACCCAGAATGGCCGCAACTTCAGAGACAACGGACATGGAGGAGACCACCATTTTGGTCTTGGTGAATGTCTTGTGGCTGTTGTCACTATCATCTGCGAGCGCATGAAGCTTTCCAATGGTCTCTTCTATATCATGTTTCAGTCTGGGAAACTCTCCCAAAAATCTTATTTCTTCAGCGGATAGGTCTCCATCTTGGAGCTCCTCATCTTCATACAGAGGATCGTCATCTTCACCGCTGTGGAGAAGTGAAATAAAGATTTCTATTCAGCTTCGCAGATGGGAAAACCCAACTCTTTGTCAAGCCTGTGTGGCTTCTGGTTGTGCTTGCCACTCTCAGCTTGGAGTTCTCTCCCTGAAAAGTCTCAAAGCATTGTCAAGCGATTCAACCTTCACTGAAAGCAACTGGTTCCAGGAAGACAAGAAACACGTAAGAAGGGCATTTGGAGGGACAGAAGCCTGAGCCTTGGCCAAGGAGCTAGGGAAGGTGGATAGGTCCTGGGGGATGTTTTCAGCTTTGCTCCGAGAAACCATAACCCTGCTGTGGAGGAGGGGTGGTGGGGAAATGCTAAGCTCTTCCTCCGGACAAGGGATGTGGGGCCAGCAGAGGGAGAAATGGGGGAAAGGGAAGAGAAGGAGGAGCCTGTAAAAGTGAGTCAGAGGGAGGAGGGAGGCTGTAATAAGTAGGTAATGCATCCTCCATTCCACGACCTTGAATCTGGCTACCATGGGTGTTCCTTCAGGAGTTGCACATTGAGAGAGTCCAGAAAAATTATGGTTAATGTTCCAAACATTTTCCTTGCTCTTGGCCAGCTCTACCTGACCCCTCAAGCAGATGGGCTTGGCCCTTCAGGAAGAAGGGAAGACTAGGCCCCTCTGACTCCAACGCATCACAGGAAAGAGAATGAAGAGATCCTCACCAGCCCAGTTCAGTTTAGCCTCCTGGGAGAGTATCAGGGTGAGAACAAAGCCTCCTCCAAGGGCACCATCTTGTGCCAAGTGCCACTTGTGCGTGTCTTTCAGGGCCAGCCGAGGAGGCCTGAGGTGACACAGATGCCCTGGCCCAAAGGAGAAGACCTGAGCGGAAGAAGCACTGGAGAGGATCTGCACCACTTTGTTTACTTTTCACTGGAGGGACCTGAACCCCAAAGAGGAACAAGGATGCTCCCAAGGAATGTGTTCAGTGAAGCAGAGCTTTGAGTGGGCTCAGAGCCCCCAGACCCTCCATGATTTCTGTGCTTCTGCTCACCTGTCAGTCACGTCAGGACTTCCTCACTGAAGTACATATACATATGCAAACATATTTATCTTTCAGTAAATCTCTCTCCACACGCACATGCATACAATTCCCCAATGGAAAAGACTAGAAACCCAATATACCACCAAGGAAACCCTTCCTTGTAATGAATTAATACAGATAGGCTCAATTATCCATTAATGAGCAGATATAAATCAGTTAACAGAGGAGACGGTTGCCAGGAGCTTGCAGTGGGGAAGGGGCGGATGACGGGGAGCCCTGCTGAGGCAGCCCAGACTTTGCAGATGTCACGGTCTAGCCCACCCTGATCTCTGAGTTTCCTCAAGGCAGGTTGGACAAAGAGTGACAGCGAACAGCTATGCTGCTGCAAATTTCATCAACACTGCTGTGCATTAACTACAAAGTATTGTTTTTAGCATGGTTGATGGCAGATGGGAGCTTGGCTATATGTGTTTCTTAGTTAAGCTGAACACCTCACTGTATGCATGGTATACATAGTATGTCTAGTATAGTATAGACCTCTCTGCCCTGGTGCATCCTGTATCAGCCGGCAATGTCTACTGACAGCAGGTAAGACAGCAATCTCGTTCCATGAGATGCTACTGTGCATACAGTTCGCCTCATTCACTTAGCGAGCAAATCTTTTCTGCCCACACTGTGCTGGAGGCTGGCAGTGCGACATCTGCTGATTAACGGATAATTGGGCTGATGTTCATGAACTTAACACTGAAGGGCCTCCTTGGTGGTACATAAGCTGAATAAACCGAGTTCCCACCTTCACGGGACCCACAGAAGTGAGGCCCAAAGGGCAACTTCTGTCCTTTGAGTCCTGTTGCTCAATGCCAGGCACCCGACTAAATCTTGACTTGCCCTCCAAAATACTTAATTTCACTCCGTGGAACGTTTTCTTTCCTAGGAGAACAAATGTCCTTGTGCATAACGGAGACCCGTGGGAAGACGGGTCCCATTTCTCAGCTAATGTTGTCAGTGCACCATCTTGAGGACACCTGTGGCGTTCCAACAGAGAGTCAGCCTTTCCCTTGTCCTCTTCGGATTACCTTTGCAGACCAACATCGGTGTCGTGTTCTGGCGATGTCTGGTGTTCCAGCTGCAAATCCATGTCCCCGGAAGTCAAAGGATTTTCTGGTGTGGAAAACAAGGTTACTGCACATATCATGAGATCGCATGAAATTCAAGTGTAGAGGGATTTTAGATTATGTGGAATCAAAATAATAATAAAACACTTATACGAGGGGATCCAAAAGATAGGAATTTACTTACAAAAGTGGTGTACTTATTCTTACATGTTTAAACTTTAGTCAGCTTCGAAGTACTCTCCATTTGATGCAATACCTCTTGAGACTTTTTTCCACTGCTCAAAGCAATATTTGAACTCATCAGTTTTGGTGCCCGTTAGTGTTTCTGCCACTTTGGTGTCACCTCTTCCGCACCGGTCAAATGTTTCCCTTGGAGAAGTTTTTCCATTTGGGGAAACAAAAAAAGTCCCTTGGGAGCCGGGCTCGGTGGCTCAGCCTGTAATCCCGTGCCTTTGGGAGGTTGAGGCGAGTGGATTGCCTGAGCCCGTGGGTTCGAGACCCACCTGGGCAGCGAGACCTCATCTCTACAATAAATAAAAAAAAAATCAGCTGGGCATGGTAGCACATGCCTGTAATTCCGGCTACTTGGAAGGCTGAGGTGGAAGGATCGCCGGAGCCCAGCAGGTGGAGGCTGCGGTGGCTGGGAGCAGCCACGGCACTCCAGTCTGGGTGACAGAGTGAGACTCCAACTCAACAAAACAAAACAAAACAAAAAACATACATTTTGTAGTGCTACCGACTAACCTTGTTCAGTACCAGCAAAAAAAACAAAAAAAAAGTCACTTGGGGAGAGACCAGGTGCGTAAGGAGGGTGGGCATGGGAGTCACGACATTTTGGGTCCAAACCTGCTGGACACTCAGCATGGTGTGGGCAGGTGTGCCCATAAATCACCCATCATGAAATGGGCAAACACCTGAAATAAATCTTTAAAAAAAAAATTCACCTTCTCGCTGCTATCGTGTGCAAGAGGCCGTCCCCTGCTCTGGTCCAAGACTGCCTCCGAATATCTGTCCGCCGCTTTGTGATTTTCTGCTGTTTCTTGGCAAAAATGGCAAATAATGATGCCGTTCTGAAGAGACTGGAACGGAAGAGTGCAGAGGCAGATCAAATCACTGAATTTCTTAAGCAGCAAGTTGCTCTTCTTAAGGAGAAAGCAATTTTGCAGGCAGCTTTGAGAGAAGAGAAGAAACTTCGAGTTGAAAATGTGAAACTGAAGAAAGAAATTGAGGAACTGAAACAAGAGCTAACTCAGGCAGAAATTAAAAATGGAGTGAAACAAATACCATTTCCTTCTGGTGCTCCTCTGCAAGATAATTCTGTGCCTTCTGAAAATATGGTACCTCTACGCCAATAACAACTGTATCTTCTGGTGTCAAAAAACAGATACAAGGAGGAACAGGAGAAGAAACAAAGGCAAAAGATAAAATTGAAAAGAAAGGTGAGAAGAAGGAGAAAAAACAACAGTCAATAGCAGGAAGTGGTGACTCTAAGCCAATAGATGTCTCCTGTATGGATCTTAGAATTGGTTGCGTCGTAACTGCCAGAAAACATCCTGATGCAGATTCTTTATTTTATACGTAGAAGAAGTAGATGTCGGAGAAATACCCCAAGAACAGTTGTCAGTGACCTAGTGTATCATGTTCCTCTTGAACAGATGCAAAATCGGATGGTGGTTTTACTTTGTAACTTGAAACCTGCAAAGATGAAAGGAGTATTATCTCAAGCAATGGTGATGTGTGCTAATTCACCAGAGAAGGTTGAAATCTTGACTCCTCCTAATGGATCTGTTTCAGGACCCAAACCATGGCCAGTAGTGGAATCAAATAAAATGCTTCTGAAATGCATGGAAAGCCGGGCTCGGTGGCTCAGCCTGTAATCCTGCGCCTTTGGGAGGCTGAGGTGAGTGGATTGCCTGAGCCCGCGGGTTCAAGACCCGCCTGGGCAGCGAGACCTCATCTCTACAATAAATCAAAAAATCAGCCGGGCGTGGTAGCACGCGCCTGTAATTCCGGCTACTCGGAAGGCTGAGGCGGAAGGATCGCCGGAGCCCAGCAGGTCGAGGCTGCGGTGGCCGGGAGCGGCCACTGCACTTCAGTCTGGGCGACAGAGTGAGACTCCAACTCAAAAAAAAAAAAAAAAAGAAATGCATTGGAGAAAACTTTAATAACAATAATAAAAATAAATATATTTGCCAATTGTACCTAAAAAAAAAAAAAAATTCACTGAAGCCGAACACAGCCTCTCACAACAGTGCTGGCGGGTCCACTGAGGCTGACGGGTTCCTAGAACACTTACCTAGCGGGGGAGGCCTGTACAAGGGGCCCCCACCCCAAAAAATAATTCCAGTTTATTTGGGGTCCCCTCTTATAGTATATTTGCAAATTATCGTATGTTATATATTGAGGTGTAGCCTACATACAATACATGCATGCAATGAAGTACTCAGTTCAATACATTCTGACATCTGTGTTGGAGGGTAGCAGAATATGCCACCCCCAGATATGCCACTTTGGTGTAAGGATTATTTTGAGCCGAAGGCGGCTGAAAAGAAGTAGATGCAAGAAAAGCTCTCTGCCCTTCCCCTCTTTGCCTAAAAGCTGGACATACATTTACAAAGATAAATCCTTCTTCTTTCTACCAGAGGGACGAAGTCTGATCACTGACCACAACTTGGATTCTAACCAGCTGGAGACAGCACCGGAGGACTCCACGCAGCACACTTCACTAACTGGCCTCTGTCTACCATTCGTCTCCCAAGTATTTGTCTTCCCACCGTTTGGGAGCCCTAGAGACTCATGGACCTTTATCTTGTCATTTCTCTAAAATTGTACTGTTCTTTGTTGAAGGTGCCATGCAAGCAAGAAGTTCTAGGCCACCTCTGGGAGAATGATTTATTCCTTGGGTACCTCCCATGTATCCATATATATGTTAATAAACATCTGTTTTTTTTTTTCTCTTGTAAATATGCCTTGGGTTACAAAGTTTCCAGGTGAGAACTCAAAGGGGAAAGGGAAAATTGTTTTTTTCCTCCTTACAATATACACCCAAGGAATCACCTCCCAGATTAAGATCTAGAACAAGCCGGGCTCGGTGGCTCAGGCTGTAATCCCGCGCCTTGGGAGGCTGAGGTGAGTGGATTGCCTGAGACTCCAACTCAAAAAAAAAAGAAAAAGAGATAAACCCTAAATAATTCACCAAAAGAAACTATTAGAACTAATAAACAGGCCAGGCTTGGTGGCTCAGCCTGTAATCCCAGCGCTTTGGGAGGCCGAGGTGAG